ACCAGGCCGTGGACGTGGCTTATAGGGACGCGAGCGTAGGCTGGAGATGCCGGTGAATGGGACGGCGCGGTGCTCGCAGAAGAAGGCGTAGTGAAAGTTGCGCTTGTCGCACAGCCAATCGATGGACCGAAAGACAAGACTCTCCACTTCTGCCTCGTTGACGGCCAGCTTCACGGAACCATCGTGGGACTGACCATCGTCAGGACTGTTCGAAATGGTGCCAGTATGCGAGTTGTAGTAGCCACAGAAACCAACCACGGGATTGATGAAACTAGAGGTTGACTACAAATTAAAAATAGTTCTTATATAAACGTGGATTATCTGAAACACGCCAAACGAACCACGATCTAAGACTGCATCTTAATTTTGGTTACAATAATTTGCCTACTTATTTCATTTAGGTAGATATGTTATATTCAGGTTTGTTGTTTGTGGGCTGATGGGAAGGACAGGGATTGGGGCTAGGGTTAATTTGGCCTGCGGTAGACCGTATTATCTCATCCATAAAACAACAAAGAAAGAAGAAGCTTATAATAATGAAAAGAGTGATCATCAGACGAAAGTCACACGGTCCACGCAAAAATATTTACACACATCCTTGTGTGGAGACGTGTGAAGCCTCTTGAATGAACTCGATGAACATAACAACACTGTCGAACTACTACATGTCGTTACTGTATTAACTGGAATGTAACTCAGTGAAAAATGCAACAACTGCGGGATTAAAATAGATAGCTATCAAACGCTAAGAGGGGATCGAATTAAAAGTAGAGGTGGCGAAGCACCGTTACACGTTATCTTCGTAACGAATGCGCAAAGGATCATGACATGGGAATGGTGCAATGTGTTTGAATGGTTTTTAAATCTGAAAGTGTCACTGTCACCCCCAACCCAATATTCGGTACTGAGAATAAGGCCCGTCAAAGTAACTAGCCACTCCGGAAGCGTGCAAGCGAACACTGCTTCTAACGCTTATGTCGATGAGCCAGATAGCCAAGCAATTATTGCGGCAACATCCAACCCAGGCATGAAATGACAGCTATTAGCGACTCGAATGCCGACAATAAAGCTATTATCGCACTAAAGGGCAACCATTCGAGATGATGGGGGAGCTGTTGACATAGGTATGCATGAGTATAGCGACTGCATCCTTAGTACTGCGTATTTCTTGGATTCCCTGTGCGTTATTTTCTTAAAATCCTTTTCCTTACGCAATAAGCTGGATCCTTTAGTGCCCATATACAGACCAGCCCATGGCCGCAGTAGGTCATAACCAATGCCTTCCTTGAACACTGAAGTTTCAGTACAGGCGAACTCCTTTGCCAAAAAGGAAACCTTCGAATTGCACTTGAAATGTGAATCCGCCAAAACAAAAATGATCCCCCCGACACCCGATCGGATCTATTTCTTTGACCATGTTTGGTAGTAAATCCATCGAAATCCCTGAAATTGGTGTAAAATCGGTTTGAAGCTAAAACTGGGAATATACAGAGATACTATCAAGAAGATCCGTTCGTACGGATGCAAAACGCGGTGAGTACACTCAAAAAATATTTGCTCGACAACGCTTGTGCTCTAGTTACCATATTCGACTCTGCGATCGTGATTCCAATGAATAGTCAGACTGGAATGATTCGACCACAGGAAGGACATGTTTTTTCAGTTG